GCCTGCTGTGTTCATCCAGCCCTGCACCTTGTTATCTCTTGAAGTTAAGCTTCCTGTCCAGTACATTCACTGGAAGCTAATCTTGGCAACGTCCTTCCCTTCAGTACACTCCTCCTACTGCACGCCCTGTAGTTTCTGTCGTCAGCGAACTGTTGCAGAAAAACACGACCCTGCTGAATTTTTTGTTCGAAAACAATCGGGCTGGATCTCGATACCGTGCAACTCAAGCGAAGTAAAACACAGCAAAGTCATTGAAAGCAGACGATCGGCTCGCTCAAGTGCTGTTTTCCCACTATCACGATCGACGCAAGAAGCAAGGTATGATACGTTTTATCGAGTGTCATAACCCAAATTGTTATTGGAATTCATTTTATCAAACACAAAGTACAAACGTGACCACTCGGCCGTCTAAAAAGTGCCTTACTTTACATTACCGTTCTCAACTCTCCCGACGACATATCAAATTTAGGTCACATTCATATTGTGAGATTCAACCAACTGCAAGTACTAAAGTAACCAATTATAAATGTGTGCCTTACAGTTCTTAACACTTGTCTTTTGCTCCGCGCCTGTCTGTGTAACTTCTACGTTCAAAGTTTCCCTATCAACACTCGTCGTCACCAGATTTCCTGCCTCGATTTCCATTGCACTGGATGTTTTGACTCAGTCCCGTTAACGGTGCCTGGTTGATGCGATGTTTACTCGGAAGCTTTGTGCCGCGTTTTCCAGTTTTGAAATGTCCCTGTCCCCATTTTTATTTGTCTCATTCGAAGAGCCTTTGGCGATCGAAAAAATCATGAGAGGCAGCAGCACAGGGTTGATAAACAATGAAATCATCTACAAGCCACAAGTCAGGAGTAGAATACTCTCCACTTGTTTAGATGTGTGCAGCTCCAATAACACTCAAGAAGCTCGACATTATCCAGGACTAAGCAGACCGCTTGATTAGCACCACCTCTACGAACATCCACTCCCTCCATCACCGACGCTCAATAGCAGCAGTGTGTACTATCTACAAGATGCACTGCAGAAATTCACCAAAGATCCTCAGACAGCATCTTCCAAACTCACACCACTTCCACCTAGAAGGGTAAGGGCAGCTGACACATGGGAACACCACCATGCAAGTTCCCCTCCAAACCAGGCATCACCCTGACATGGAAATATATCAGATTCCTGCTCTGTCCCTGGGTCAAAATCCTCAAATTCCATCCCGAACAGCATTGTGGATCAACCTGTAGCACGTGGACTGCAGCAGTTCAAGAAGGCAGCTCTCCACCATCTTCCAAGGGCAACTAGGGATGGGCAAGAAATGCTGGCCAGCCAGCGACGCCCACATCCCAGAATGAATTGAAAAAGCTTGTGATAAGTAGAAATACCAGTACAGGCCTAGGTATGCCGAATGGTCTCCAATGCTGGAGCCATTCTATGATTTGGTATCAAATAAAGAACAAGAATTAATATTTTGTAGTATGGGAATATCCAACGCATCTTGACTGGGCAATTTAGCATGGCCAATCCACCTAACCTGCACATTTTTGGACTGTGGGAGGAAACTGGAGTACCTGGAGGAAACCCATACAGTCACAGGGAGAATGTGTAAAGTCCACTCAGACAGTTGTTTGAGGCTGGAATTGAGCCTGTGTTCCTGGCACTGTGAGGTAGCAATGCTAACCATTGAGCCACATGCTGCCCTTTTTTTCAGGCAGGTAAGAGTAAAGAAATCTTATCGCAACTAAAAGCACTAGTGAGATCACATTTGGAGTACTGTGAGCAGTTTTTGTCCTCTTACTTAAGAAAATATATCATTTCGTTGGAGGCAGTTCAGAAGAGGTTCACTCGGATGTTCCCTGATATAGAGAGATTATTATATGTGCAAAGGCTGAACAGGTTGGGACTCCGCTCGCTGAAGTTTAGAAGAATGAGAGGTGATCTCATTGAAACACATAGGATTCTTAAGGGGCTTGACAGGGTAAATGCTGAGAGAATGTTTCCCCTTTTGGGAAAGTTTAGGATCAAAGAGCATAGTCTCAGTATAAAGAGACACCAAATTAAGACTGAGATATGAAAGAATTTCTTCTGTCAGAGGATTGTGAGCCTTTGGAACTCCTTGCCACAAAGAGTTGAGAGGGCAGAGTCCTTGTGTATATTTAAGCCTGAGATTGATCAGTGCAGGAATCAAGGATTATGGTGATAATGCAGGAAAGTGGACATGAGAATTGACAGAGATAACAAGGTGTAGAGCTGGACGAACACAGCAGACTAAGCAGCATCAGAGGAGCAGGAAAGCTGACGTTTCGGGCCTAGACCCTCTGAAGAAGGGT